TCCCCACCCCCAAACTAAAGGAAATAAGTTTTTTATCCGACATCGATCTTTTGACGTCGTCCCTTACCCAGTATTTATATTGATATTGCTTCTATCTTGCCTGCTAACAGAAGGATCTACTGCAGTGTTATAGCGACTATGTCACTGACTTCCCACATTCCATTGAGATGATTAACCAGTGGAGCAAACAGTCACATAAATTCAGAAAGTTTCTGAAGGTGAGTGAATTTTGTTTTTGTAATGGATGAGTCTAGGTAGGTTGTGGGTTGCTGGGTGTGCATGAGTTGCAAGTCCTATGTGACTCAATGTGTTAGTGGGTGGGTCTAGGTAGGTTGTGGGTTGCTGGGTGGGTGGTGCGTGAGTGAGTAATCCTATGTGACTCAATGTGTTAGTGGGTGGGTCTAGGTAGGTTGTTGGTTACTGGGTGGGTGGTGCGTGAGTGAGTAAGTCCTATGTGACTCAATGTGTTAGTGGGTGGGTCTAGTTAGGTTGTGGGTTGCTGGGTGGGTGGTGCGTGAGTGAGTAAGTCCTATATGACTCAATGTGTTAGTGGGTGGGTCTAGGTAGGTTGTGGGTTGCTGGGTGGGTGGTGTGTGAGTGAGTAAGTCCTATGTGACTCAATGTGTTAGTGGGTGGGTCTAGGTAGGTTGTGGGTTGCTGGGTGGGTGGGTGGTGCGTGAGTGAGTAAGTCCTATGTGACTCAATGTGTTAGTGGTTCGGTCTAGGTAAGTTGTGGGTTACTGGGTGGTGCGTGAGTGAGCAAGTCCTATGTGACTCAATGTGTTAGTGGGTGGGTCTAGGTAGGTTGTGGGTTAGTGGGTGGTGCGTGAGTGAGCAAGTACTATGTGTCTCAATGTGTTAGTGGGTGGGTCTAGGTAGGTTGTGGGTTACTGGGTGGTGCGTGAGTGAGCAAGTACTATGTGACTCAATGTGTTAGTGGGTGGGTCTAGGTAGGTTGTGGGTTGCTGGGTGGGTGGTGCGTGAGTGAGTAAGTCCTATGTGACTCAATGTGTTAGTGGGTGGGTCTAGGTAGGTTGTTGGTTACTGGGTGGGTGGTGCGTGAGTGAGTAAGTCCTATGTGACTCAATGTGTTAGTGGGTGGGTCTAGTTAGGTTGTGGGTTGCTGAGTGGGT